ATGAGTACATTAGGAACGCTATGCAGCACCATTGGGCGTGTGGTGTAGTGGTATCACGTCTGCTTGGCATGCAAAAGGCCCCGAGTTCAAACCTCGGCACGTTCACTACCAACTGTATACATATCACAAGTTAGCGAAAGACTAAACATGAGTGCACTAGGAACGCCATGCAGCACCATCGGGCGTGTGGTGTAGTGGTATCACGTCTGCTTCGCATGCAGAATGGCCCGAATTCAAATCTCGGCACGTCCACTACTAACTATATAAATATCGCAAGTTAGCGAATAATCAAACATGAGTGCACTAGGAACGCTATGCAGCACCATCGGGCGTGTGGTGTAGTGGTATATATACATATCACAAGTTAGCGAAAGACTAAACATGAGTGCACTAGGAACGCCATGCAGCACCATCGGGCGAGTGGTGTAGTGGTATCATGTCTGCTTCGCATGCAGAAGGGCCCGAGTTCAAATCTCAGCACGTCCACTACTAATTGTAAACATATCACAAGTTAGCGAAAGACCAAACATGAGTGTATTAAGAACGCCATGCAGCACCATCGGGCTTGTGGTGTAGTGGTATCACGTCTGCTTTACTTGGACCTCACTGAGGTCATCTCACCTGGCCGCATCATACAGCCAGAGCCGCCGACTCGGGTTCGTATTGACTGTTCCACAGCTGGTTGCTTTTGGCCTGAGGTTTGTGGCCTCTGGTGCGAGCTGCAGGGAGATTGGTGATGAATACGGTGTAGCTATGTCATCAGTAGCTGGTCATAAGTAGTGTTGTGAAGAAATTCGTGAGGTGCGTAGTAGACGTACTGTGCGCCCAGTATATCAACATTCCAACGGATAACGAGCTAAGAGACTCCATGGGTTCCGAGCGGCGAGCGGCATGATGAATGTCTGGGCGGCTATTGATGGTACCCATGTCAAAGTGCATTCTCCTCGTAAAGTTGAAGAAGCCTGCGTCAACCGCCACCACGAACACTCGATAAACTGGATGGTCGTCTGTACGAACGCCATGCGCATATGCGCTCTTTCAACTCGCTGGGGAGGCAAGGTCCATGAGAGCCGAGTCTTTAGAAACTCGTCATATGTTTTATTGCGAATGAGGACAGTGCTACTGTAGCATTATGCATTTTAGTGGATTAGAGCAAAGCTTATCGAACGATCTTGTATTTTCCACTCGTATCGCTTGCGTCGATTGCGTGTGCCGCTGGCACACTGCGCCAGCCTACGCGGATTATACCAAGTAAAGGTGATCTTCCGATCTCGGGGATCCCTCACGACTATGCACTCGAACAGTGAGAAACATATCCCGCACTTGGAATTCGTGCAAGTTACCCGGATTAGTGACCGAAGCACTTGAATACAAAGTTAATCGGAACTTTATCCCTCGGAGTCCGACTCAGACTGTCCGAGGCACGGACTTGGCGCTCGTCGAATCTAACTCGGACTTGGAACCCGGAAAGCTAAAGCACTTGAATAGGCCCCTGGTGATGTCATACAAGGCGCATGTTTTTGAGGAGCAAAACATGAGTGTATTAAGAACGTCATGCATTACCATCGGGACACGCCTCTGAACTTCAGAGTCGGAAGCCAGTGGCAAACAACAATCGCGCATCCCTGTTTCATTTTGAAGCACCATGTCCAAGGACCAATTAAGGTGCACCGTTTTCCAAGTCCACACAACTGGAAAGTAGACCGATCCAAACTTGGAAAAATTACTAGTGTTAAAGTGCACGTGCTTGGATCAGACCTATCTCGACAGTCTACCAGATAATGTCGTTGCTGACTTGCTAAGCACCTTCGTGGTAGCCGGAAGTCAGACGCTGGTGTCACACCAGTGGTGTGCACAATTGTGCATCACACAAGGGATGTGCACTGCACATCCGTCATTTACCACTTGCGTGATAATGGGTTGCTGAAACGAGAGCTCGGAGTGTTGCATGGCATGGGTGAGCTTGCTCTGGCAAGGTGGCGGACCATGTACTCACAGGCCAGATCTGAGGTGCAGGTGGGTACCTTACTGGTACCTTACTTAATATACATTCTTGGTGTCACGTCAAGATGCCGGAAAGGTCACAGCCTTGAATCGAGTGACATCAAGTGACTTGGTGCCACCCATGCTTTTAATTCTCTTAGGCATTGTTTTATCCCATCTAACAGATGGGCGTCTCCAAGTACTTGGTGGTCCTCATCCAGACCTGGCTGACTAATCAAACAGTCAAGCTTAGCTTCGGAGCACACTCCGCTGGGATTACTTCGAAAAGAAGAGTGCCTCAAGGATCTATACTTGGGCCCCTCCTGTTTCTGGTCAGTACGATAGCCTGTCGCGCACGTTGAATGCACTTGCATGCGAAACACTTCACTGTGCAATGCGTGCAGAGATTGCGCGAAAGATCACTGCTCAACGCAACCAGACAACCAAAATGAAATAAAGTCAGAAACAACCCTAGTACTACAGAGCAACACCAACGCCACAACGCTGTCAGTATAGGAAGTCAAAATTGACCAAAATCCAACAGGTGCAGACAGGTCTAGAAGGTCTCCTACGTGGCCTGCGGACTCGGCACCTGCTCTTAAGGTATAGAACATCAAACCGCTTCAGGAAGATGATGGATCACGGGATATGATGGTCATCACGTCAACTGGCTACGCTAAAACTATCCAAGGTAAGCTGCTCGCTCAGGCTACCTGGATCGGGTACCGGCGGCAAGCCTTTAAGTCTTACGGTGGTTCAATCTACGCCGATCTAGTATGCAACCTTCAACGCCATGTGACAGTGACACACGGTCAGTATATCGATTATTCTGCTGAGTAGGATAAGGTCATAGTTTGATGCAGTGAAAGCATCGCACTTCGCGCAATTCGCGCTTTTCACTACGTGCATTGCTGCAGTGCACGCAATGCGGGTGCAACTCCATCGACATCAAGAACAACACTGTCATCATGACATGACAATAGGCATCAACGCATCCGGCGCAAGGGTTTTTCGTAAGGCCTGTTACTACGTTGAGGGCAACCTCGACCGCTGGTGTCGTCGGTCGGGATTGGACATGTCTCCGGACAAATGCTATGTCCTTTCCCCTAGGAAGCTAACGTTTTCGCCTAACTGGCAAGGTGCGAAACTTCCCACAACCTATGTGGTGAGAGTCTTGGGAGTCTTTCTCGACAAGAGACTGACCTTCAGACATCACCTGCGTAAAAAAGTTTCAGAGTGTCGACGCCGACTGGCTTGCCTAGTTGGCTTAGGGTGGGTAACAGCTGGCATCACTCACAAGAGAGCCGCTCGAACCTATCACCAAGGAGTCTTTCCGCACCTCTCGCATGGAGTGTCGGCATGGGGGGATGTTCTTCACTTCTCATGGCCCATGGGTCATGGGCTCTCAGACTGGTGGACTCGGTGTCTGGTATGGCTGCGCGCATTGTGCTACGTGCACACCGCACTTGCTCGTATCATGCGAGTCGTATGCGGCAGCCACTATATTGGCAGGGCTCCAGCTTGCGCATATCCAACTCCTGTCCCTACTGGAGGTTCAGCGAGACTGCATGATGCCTGTGCTGCCCCTAAGAGATTACCCTGGTAGGTACAGGGAGATGATATGGAAGCCTGATGTTCGTCTAAGACGAGTCGTTTTCCCCATCCCCTTCCTCCATGGGCTCCTACGGTCAATCCTGCGTTTGAACCTAGGAGAAACGCTGTAGAGCGCGCTAGGGAATGCGGACGCCACTGGTGCTATCTCCACAGATGGCTCCAAATTCCGTGACGGTAGCGGCGGAGGCATTATTGCCTTCATGTATAACATGCCGGTACAACAAACCTACTTCAGGTTGCCCGGATTTACCTCTATAGCCTAGTGTGAATTAACGGCCATCCGCGATGCTCTGCGTTGGCTTCGGTCTACTGTCGGTCGGTTCCAGGTCTTCCCTGGAACGCTGTGGTATATATTTACTAATAGCCAAGCGCCTATCATCTTGATAGTATCAAGTCCTTGGGTCACCGGCACTCTGTCGAGAAGTACGCACTGGCCAGGGACATTATTGTACTGTACCAAGGCATCAACGTATCTATCCGTTGGTGTCCTGGCCACGAAGGGGTTGAGGGTAACGAGCTTGCTGACCAACTTGCTAATGTCGGGAGGAAGCAACTCTATCCTCTAACTCCGGATGTTCCTCCCCGCATATCCCGATCCCCCTTAAAAGGCAGGCTAAGGAGAAAAAGGAGGAGCTAACTCGCCAGTGGTGGTGTCTAATTCGTCCCAGCTTGGGAGCCACTGTGCGGGAGTTCTTCTGGTCGTTTGGTCGTTTGGTCATGCTCGCCGCTTCTTGGCAGCTGGCCACGTGGCCCCAGAGGTTTCGGCCTTGCTCTTAGGGCATGCGCCGACTCCTTACATGAGACACGTCCAAGGCCTGCTCCGGGCCCACAGTGCCCTGGCGGTGCCCTGACGGTACGACGATGCACTATATCAGGGATTGTCCGCTTCTGGATAGAGCACGTAAAGCGTCAAACCTTTATGTTCCTAAGCATCTGTACAAGTTCACAGTGAGCCCTAAGCTCCGTGGCTTCCTGGTGACTATGTGCAAATATGTATTTGAGTAGCTGGAGAGACTACGGCACTCGGATACCTAATCTTGATATGGTCCCTACCGCTGCTATCGTTCTCCGGTAGCAGGTAGCCATGCGTTGCGCCTTCGGGCGTACTTTGGTACCTGTCCATCACACAGATGGCAGGTCGGCCAGAGAACAGTGCAGTGCAACGGCTTCAGTGGCCGGCACAGTGTGGCACAACTCAGTGCTCCAGCACTTGTACAATTTTCAAGGGTCAGCGACATCGAGACCTCTTCCGGAGGTGTCGCAGGATCCATTAAACCGGTAGACCGATCCACTAACGATTGGTATAGGTGACGATGGATAATAATAAGCTTTTCCAAAAAACTCGCAGCATGCTAAGTTAGCATTGCTAACAGCTCCGAAACATCTTCAAGCCCTACCTTCAAGTCATTCGCATCAGCAGAAAGTCTGACAAATCTTTCCTCGAGTGACTGCAGCTCGCCAGTGGCGAGTCGCCACCAGCAACTGTCACTGCCAATTGTCATTCAATCTAACCATCGGTTTGGTTGCCTACCATTATCTTCACTGCTCTCCAGCTTACTATTGAGGTGACATACTAGCGAATCCATGCTCTTTAACTACGAATGAGAAGGACAAGGAGAGGCGATGCACATCGGTTGTGGAGACCACCCCGCATCACAGAAAAGTACTGTAGAGCCGTAATTGAGAAATACCTCGGAGGGATGCAGATATAACCACCCAGTTCTATGAGTTCTGTCTATCCTCAGTCTTTTTCCCTGAGCCCACTCCCGCCTGGATGTCTTTCAGACGTTTCCGAACCTGACAGAAGGTACTCGGCTACTTGTGATCCTCCGGCGAACCGCACATAGGCTCTCCAAGAGCCTTAGACTTTATTTTGCGAAGACGTCTCT